TGTAAAAGAATGCAATCTACAATTGTCACGATGAGAGAGAGAGAGAGAGAGAGAGAGAGAGAGAGAGAGGTTCAATTTTTATGTTACAATGTCAATGTTTATGTTAAAATTGGTAAAAATAAAACATACAAAAAAAAGGTTGTCGTTTGTTTATACAGTTTATGGTGTAAAATAGTTGAAAAAATGCTTTTAAAAAAGTTGTTTTCTGGATTTGGAATGGAATAAAAAATTTTTACATTGATTCTAATGGAAAACATGGTTTCGGTTTTTGAACAATTCGGTTTTCGAACAACCTTCTGGAACGGATTATGGTCGAAAACCAAGGATCGACTGTACTGTGTTTCTAATAAAGTTTGTATGTGTTGGAGTCATATTTTCAACATATATTTGATTTTAAAAAGTATATTTCTATGAATATAAATATATATATATATATATGGGGGTATTAGTGGCTATTAAGACAGTGGGTGCTTGGATTGTATTTTCACTTTTGTCGACAGCACTTCATCACCATCCGCCTAATTTGACTTGTCAATTGTTATCGTAGATTTGTGCATGTCGCGGACACAGAGCTGCAAATTTCCTCTAAAAGATTTTCTTAAGTTTTATTTAACACTTGATTGGTGGGCAGGCACTCCACAGACAAATCTATTTGTTTACCTGACATTCTAAATTAAAATAGACATGGTTTAATACTGTACATGGTTTAATACATGGCTGACGCACGCATGTAAGCCTTTTGACGTTATGCAGATGTCCTCTTAGGTTCCCAAGCGGAAGGACAGATTGCGTCACTTTATGTCCATTCCCATTGGGTGGTTGCGTTTCAGCCAGACGCAGATGGAATCCACCACTGGCTGTCCCACCTGAAGTCCTAATTGAATCAGAGTAGAGAGCTGGAATGTTGACGGCCCTTTTTTTTTTTTCCCAGGCAACTATCATCCGAGGATCTGGCTCGCGTGCCTGCCAATTCCACCAGTAACATCTTGAACAGGTTACTGATCAGCTACGATCCCAGAATACGGCCCAACTTCAAAGGTAAGTGTGAAAGCCTCTTCATCTCCCCCATCTGTCTGTCTGGCTTTCATGAAGGCCGCCGAATTGCTGGTGTTATGCTAATTTCACAACAACTACTCGGAATGTCTTCTTTTGGATTTATCTTCACTCCAAGCGCGTGTTCAGAAGACCATAAGGTCTTCCATTTGAAATGAAATTCGGCCATGTTCAAAATGGATGCTCAAAATAAGTCAACATGGTCAATGTCACATTTTTCAGATCAGGGTTTTTTCTTTTTTTTTTTTTTTTTTTTTTTGCGTTATTGCTCGCTAAGCGCCCCCCGCCCCCTTTTTTTCGTAAATCTTTTTCCAATTGCCAGGGCGTTACTACTCCATATACAGTGGTACCTCTATTTACGAACGTCTCTTCATATGAAATTTTTAAGTTACGAAACACCTCAATAGGAATGTTCCACCCTTGCCGCGTCCCTGATGCGGCTAGACCAATGGTTCTCAATTATTTTCTGTCATGCCCCGCCTAGGAAGAGGAAAACATCTCACCCCCCCCGCCCCTCGCACGACTATAAATTGTATAATTTGTCTATAAAATTGTTATAAGTACACCTTTGCATAACACTGTATCCTTATAAGATTAAAAGTATAAATACCGTATTGGCCCGAATATAAAACGGTGTTTTTTGCATTCAAATAAGACTGAAAAAGTGGAGATCGTCTTATATTCGGGGTCTAGACATTATACCCATTCACGACGCTAGATGGCGTCAGATATCATTGAAGCGAATGCTGAATTTGACTCCACAGGCCAACGTGAACCCCTGCCACAAAGAATAAAAATAAAAATAGCGGTAGCACGAAGAAGAAAAATAAAAAAATAGCGGTAAGAAAGAAAAGAAGAAAATAATAGAAGAGATAACAGAAAATGGAGAAACATAGCGACAATCTGGAGAAAAGTGGGTCGAAGATCGGCCAGGTTAACCGGCAGCTGAGCAGAAGGTATCGTGTAAACTTCAAGATGCTTTTTCTCTCAAATATATTGTTATAATCATTTGTTTCAGATGTACTGTAATTATTTTCTGTATAAAAATTAATTTGCTGTTCAAAAAGACTTTTTTCAAACTTGAGTCTTGAAAAAGAGGGGGTCGTCTTATAATCGGGGTCGTCCTATAATCAGGGCCGTCTTATATTCGGGCCAATACGGTATAAGAGAATAAAAAACGAAAGAAATATGGACCAACTTACAACAAAGATTAGCTTTAGTAACTGTAACAGAAAAGATTTAAAGTGCATCTGAAATTCAAAAATAAAATTAAATCCTTAATTTAACGATAAATATTTTTTGACTGATCATGTCAAACCATACGATAACTGAAAAATAAAATTAAATAAAATCAATAACTAATAATGCATTCAAACTAATCACCAACATTATCTCAGGAGCACAATATTAAAAAAAAAAATTAACCAGCAAAACAAAAATACATAAAATAATTTGTGTGTCTTAGCTTTTGGGAGACTTTTGTTTGTCTCTTATCTCTGTCTCTCTCCGCCTGTCGACTTCGTGTCTACTCATACTCTGTGCTGTGTGCAAAGCGCGCATGCTCAGTGCAAACAAAACACCGAGCGAATGCTCCCTCGGCACACTCTGCCAATGAGAGCGCTACTGTCCCCTAGTGTAGTGAAGGTGCAATTGCACTTTATTTTAGGACAGTGAAAAAAATCAAAATAAAAAAGCATGTTTCCCGAGGTCAAACGCACCCCCTATGGGGCCGCGCCCCACTATTTGAGAAACACTGGGCGAGACAGACAGATAACTCTTTCAATGACCACACCGTTGATGTTTCTTGCAATTTATTCACCGGCGAGTCAAGAAGGGGTAAAACTGTAACAGACACACATAAAAACACTTACACGTTGTTGCAAAGTAAAACGTGGTATAACAATGTTCCCCACTGGTCTGATACGTGACGAACGCGTGGCTATGCTAGTGTAGTTAACGTTAACGAGCAAATGCGCTAATCGCTGTACGTAAATGCTCACCGTAAACAATTGGAACGCCCCTCAAATGTAAATATACGACGAACACACCCCACTAATTAATAACATTCCATTAATTTGCATAATAGATTTACATACAGGCTGTGCATGGCTTACGACACGAAGTTGTAGTCCATCATTCGGAGGTTCCCCGTACTTCGTGAAACAGGAAGTGTCTCACGCAACAACGTCCGGTGTGCCCTTCACAATAACAAATTAACCTTACAAAATAAAGCAACTCTGTAGCTATAGAAATAGAAAACAAATGTTACATGGCTCTTCAGGAGCCAGAATAAGGAAAATATTGCCTCTAGTTACGAAATAAATGTCAAGAAACGAAAGGTAAAAATACAGTATGGGTTGCTACTCACAGCTCCAAGTTTCCTGAACGCAACATACTTATAGCTGCTCTGCCAATGGCTATTCCCGAGCATCATCCTGGCATCCCATTGGCTAAGAGGGACCTCTACCGTATGTGTCTGTGTGTGTCGATAGATATGTGTTTTTCCAGCGTCATCGTCATTCGCCTCTCAGGCCATGAGGTGTTCCGATAGTTTTAACTAAATATGAATCCCCAGAATTGTTCACCAGTCGCGCGATCGCTCACTCTGCTGATGTTTGCTTTGGACATTTTCGAAGGATTGTTGAAAGCTGACAAAAGCAGACGTCCTTTGCTCAGTTCTTTACAAACCTTCTGAGAGAGAACATGAACTAAAGAGGACAAAAAAACGATGAGGACGCAGTTAAAAGTTAAATGACCATCATTTTTATTCGTTATTCTATTTTTTGTTTTCAGAATCAGAATCATCTTTATTGGCCAAGTATGTAGAACACACAAGCAATTTGTCTCCGGTAGTACACGCTGCACTAGTATCATAATAAACAAGGACATGATAAATAAGTATGGAAGTGTACCGTTGTGCGGTGGTACCACTCAATGACAACTGTGAGACAATGTGCAAAGTCTCACAAAGTATCAACCAGAGCTGAAGTGATTAGTGGTAGAATACAATACTATAACAGTTGTACAGCTGGTGCAGAAAATCATTGAACCATTTTAAAGTGACCAGGAAGTAGCAGTATTTCGAGTACAACAAGTGTGCAATTATGCAGATGTCCTTGAGCGCTTTAAAGTGTCTGGTGCTGTGGAATGTAGATCAGTGACAGTGGTTCAAGTGAGTACAGAGCTGGAGCTACAATGATTATAAAAGTAATGCTGTTCCACAGGGTTGTGCAAAATTGCAAAGATCCATTATACAGGTAGAGTTGGATTACTGTTCAGGGGATTAATGGCTAGAGGGAAGAAGCTGTTTAAGTGTCTGCTGGATTTGGTGCGCAAGGATCAGTAGCGCCTGCCTGAGGGGAGTAGCTGGAAAAGGTGGTGGGCAGGGTGCGGGAGGTCCAGCAGGTTTTTCCGTGCCCTTGTTTTGGTTCTTGCGGTGTGCAAGTCCTCAAGGAAATTTCTCAGTCAAAACAAAAGAAAAAACGACGGTACATCTTTTTTTCCATCAACGATCGCAGTTTGACAATCGCCGCCATTGTTATTTTGATCTCGCGTTAAGTAATCTCGCGTGATGAGATTTCCATTCTCGCGAGATGAGATTGGCGAGATCGGCAGGCGATTGCCAAGTTGTGTAACATTAAAACAAGTGTTGCGAACAAGTGTTGCGAAAGTTTATTGCGGAGATATCACAGAGGAAGCAGCTAAAGTTGGACAGTTTTTTGCGACAATAAGTTGACTTTGAGAAAGCCTTGCATCATTGGAAGCAGAGTAAAGAGAGGAGAATTTGTGAACTCAAAGACTGAACCATCGGATGAAAGAAGAACCTATTTCTCAGCATATCTTGTATGCCTAAATTATTTAAAATTTTGCAGCATTTGTTTGTAAGAAATAAACCTATTATCAATGTATATTGTTGTTGTTTGTGTTATTATCATATGCATTTGAATAAGTAGACCATTTCAGAATTCGAAATTTGGGACTCTCTAAATGCATAATGGGACTCATACTTTTCTGATCAGTGAGTCCCTGGGACTCGCAGGGCTCAAACTGTAAAATTATCACATTATATATATATATA